ATACAAGATCCATTCTGCAAAAAAAAAAAAAAAAAAATGCAGTCTGCCTTCAGTTTTTGAATACAGTTGTATTTCTCTTGTGGATTTTGTGCCAAAACTTGGTTGTTTATTGTAAAACTTTCGGGGAAAGCTACAGTTTTTAATCATTTACATCTCAAGGTTATTGATCATAATGTCCAACTAAAACTGGCACTGTTTCCTTATTGTCCTGCATAACAGTTTATGTTTTCTTCCCTCACTTTCTCTCTTATATTTGTTCTCGAAGGATCTCAAATTGAGTTGAACAATGGTTTGAATTTTCCATTAGCCACTTTAAGAAGATATCTGGTCTTTAAGGTTGCTTTCTCTGCTATTCTCAAGAATTTGATTTTGCATTTTTCACTTGGCAGCTCTGCAGAATTGCCCAGGAGAACCCCGAAATCATGTTTCTGAAAGTGAATTTTGATGCAAATAAGCCAATGTGCAAGGCTTTGAATGTAAAAGTCCTTCCATATTTCCATTTCTATCGCGGAGCTGATGGACAACTAGAGTCCTTCTCTTGCTCACTGGCCAAAGTAAGACATCTGAAAATTTGTTTTGTTTCCCTATTTGGACTTTATTAGCTACCGTTTACCACTTTCATTCAAGATGAATAACCTTTTCTGCGGTAATTATTTATGTAGTTTCAGAAGATAAAAGATGCAATACAATTACATAACACAGCCCGTTGCAGTATTGGCCCGCCAATAGGAGTGGGAGATCTCACTCTTGAACTCCTTTCTGGGACCAAGTGATATACCTGCAGCAGCTTCTGCGTAGAACTGCTTACGTGTTTCATCTCTGTATCAATAGCTTGCACTCGAATAGCCACGTAACCCATCTGTATCTGTGATGGAAACTATATAGTCATTTTTCATTGTTGGTTGCTACATTTTGCGCCATTCTAGGTAATGATGTAGTAATATACTCCATTCTTTGAGACGATTGTGGTAGTAATACTTGCAGCATATATAGATGGAATTTTGTTCATTAATTATGTGGAAAAAGTGAGTCGAAAACACTACTTCCTGTCATTTGTGATACTTCTCAATCTGTACTCATGGTATAATGATACACTGTTACCTTTATTTCCTCTTTGATAGTATTCGGGTACATTGTGGACGAACGTGTGGTTTTGATTGTCTTGTCTATATTTACATTAATGGTCTTGTTGCTTTCAATATCAACTATGAATGTGGTATCAGGGCTAGCTGTTAGGAGGACCGATGATTTGAGAATATTTATAGATGAGGAGGAACAAGGCGGCGGTGGTCAATGGCCTACCAACGTGCATTTGAGAGAGACTGCATCTTCTTCATTTTCTTCATAATGTTATCACATATGTTGTAATTGTAATCACTGTGGCTTTTAATTGTGAAATGGTCAAACCTGCAGCATGTTGTGAACCACCTAAACAGGGTTAAAAAAAAAAAGACTTCATTAATTTACTTAACGATGGTAAGTTGATATTCTTGGTGTAAACAACCAGTGTTGGTAAGTTTTTACCCTGAAATAGTATGTTTGTGCAACGAGTTCAGATAAGTTGCACCTTGTTTATGCTACTTGTCAAATCTCAATCAAGTTACTTCAACTAAATTGTCAGCGACACATTTAGTTCTAGAGAGTAACATATGCAGGTTATATATGCAATTTGAATTACTATACAATCCAACTTAGAAACTTGGAATTACAGGATGTTCTTCTACGAGTTTTATTTAAAGAGGGATGAATTGGTAATTCGCATAACATGTTTACTGCATCTAGATAAACTGTAAATGAATGATCCTTGAACACCTTATGTTTATTGAAATCTTGTATCCTGCCGACGGAAAAGGAGAGAAGAAGTGGTATTTGATCTACAAATCAGACGAGTTGCTTCTAAGAAGCTTATTAAGGTATGTGCATATTAAAAAAGAAAGATATTGTTGGCGATTTTTAGTCCTAATGTGTTGTAATGAGTACTGATAATATATGTTGATCTGTGTTAGATCTGAGAAATTTAGAATGATAATGAGGAATTGGGTATTGGGATAGAGTTTAATGAAATGACATTATAATTTTTTTATACAAATTTGAAATGATCGATGCGGCTATCAATGAAAGCATGCAGATCTGGTACGTTGTATACTCTTTTGGGATCTACTGTTACAGGTGCTACTGCAGTTTCAATATCAGATAAATCAGATTCTGACATCACCAAATTGTGGCATATGCGATTGGGGCATATGAGTGAAAAATGTCTTTCCATTCTCAGCAAAAGAGGTCTCTTATGTGGCCAAAGTACCAGAAATATGGAGTTCTGTGAACATTGTGTGTTCGGAAAGTAGAAAAGAGTTAGCTTCAAATCTCTAGCGATTAATAGAACAAAAGGTACTTTGGATTACATTCATTCAGATCTTTGGGGTCCTTCACGTACCCCATCAAAAGGTAGTGCCAGGTATATGTTAACTTTCATTGATGATTATTCAAGGAAAGTTTGGGTTTATTTCCTAAAAAATAAAAGTGATGTTTTCTTAAATTTCAAACAATGGAAAGTTTTGATTGAGAAGAAAACAGGAAAATAGGTTAAGCGGCTTGGAAAGATAATGGCTTGAAATTTTGTAATGATGAATTCAACGAATTTTGCAAGAATGAAGGAATTGCTCGACATCGTACTATGAGAATGACACCTCAGCAAAATGGTGTGGCAGAAAGGATGAATAGAACTCTTTTGGAAAGGGCTCGCTGCATGATTTCAAATGTTGGGTTGACAAACGCCTTTTGGGCAGAAGCTATCTCTATAGCCTGTTATATTGTCAACCGAACTCCTTCTGCACCTTTGAACTTTAAGACTCCAGAGGAAATGTGATCAGGTACTCCTGCTAATTATTCTGATTTAAATATATTTGGTTGCCCTGCATACATGCATGTAAATGATGAAAAATTAGAGCCAAGGGCTAAAAAGTGCATTTTTCTTGGGTATGCATCTGGGGTGAAAGGATGCCGATTATGGTATCCTGATCCCACGACACCAAAATTTATATTTAGCAGATATGTAAGCTTTGATGAATCCTCTATGTTACATTCTAGAAAAGAGTCTTCTAGTTCTTGTAATACAGACAAAGGAAAGAGTACACAAAATTAGGTGGTCTGAGTCAAAGCCCGAGAAATTAAATCGGGATCGTGTTCGTGGGTCGAGGACTAAGTTTGGAATTCAAAAATTGAGAAAAAATCCTACTCTGAGAAAAATGCACTACCGCGTCGCTGGGCGCTAGCGCAAAATTCCTGCAGAGTGAAAAAAATTAGCTCTCTGAAAAATCCCATGTGCACGGCGGCGCATTGGGCGGCACGCTAGTATAAAATAGTGCCCAATTTTTTCCACTTTGGCTTAGAAAGAGTAGTTTCATCCGGGCATGTTCCTACAAGGTATAAATACTCCAAAAATACATTTTTAGAGGACTTTTGACATACGGAAGATTAGAAGAGCATTGGTGTGACGATCCGATAGGTCGTTTTGAGTACTAGCCTTAGTTTCTATGTTTTGAGACCTATCATAACTTAATTTGATGTTATATGACTTGCGTGTGTGGTCCGTGTCGCTTTTCGGAAAGCTTTTATGTGAAATTTGGAAGAAAACGTAATTTTTGACTTAAAATGAGGCTAGAGTTGACCACTATCAACGTTCTAGGTAAACAATATTAAATCGGTGTTTTGACGATTTCGATAGGTTCATATGATATTTTGCTATAGTATAGGATTGTGCGAAGTGTGCTACCACAGTTCTAGTCAGGTGATTACGCCACAA